TGATTAAGGAAAAATAGTTAAGGAATTACAAAAAACATGTGTCTTATTTGGAAAGTGATCATAAAGTTACCTGGACATCGCATACACATTTTTATTATACCAAACAATATTTTGACATTCTTTCTTGGTCACTAGTGTTGTACTGGTATGATATAGTCCCTTTACCCAAGGAGCTATAGTTATTAGTGCAGTATTGACTAACTCTTGGTGTTGGGGGGAGGGAGCAGAAATCCTGCAATTGATAAAGTAATTCTTTTTAATTCACAGTTTTGACAACTTGCTGATGCCACTAAACAAGAGCAAATTTCTTTGTGTAAAGGGCATGCAGGGAATGTCATGAATCCACAGGATCAGTGCTACGGACCCAGCTTTGGAACAGTCTCTAGGAGGAACCCCTAGTTGACAGACCCACTAGGCATCTCACTTTTCCTCCAGAGTCAGCGGCATGGCTTCACCACCTCCTTAGACTGGACCTCTGGGCCTTCAGCAGTCATTCTTCGCACCATGAGGTCTGTTCAAGAAGTCCAACTGAGACAGACTCCTGATAGAGATTTTACACTCTTCAGGGATTAATGCATCTTCAGCTTCCCTAAGGAGAGTCAGGGAAGTCCATATCCCTCTGGGTCATTGGTTGCTAGGCATCAGTGTCCTGGCTCTTGGATTTGCCATTGTCTTCTCAGATGCTCCACTGATATGGAGACTAAGGCCCAGACAGCTATGTGACACCCGCACCCATGTGTTTGCCCTGAGAGCAAACAATCCCCTTCCACCCACTGGATAACAATGCAGCAGATAGATGAAACTGAGGCACAAACAGGCCTCATAAAAGTATTACAAAATATTCCTACTTTGTCACAGGGAGCAAGGCTAAAAAGGAAACCAATAAAGGACACATTTTCTTTCAAGGCACCCAAGGTTGCAAGGCAGATGGTGACACAACAGCGCACTGGTCTGGATTGCACCCTGAATTGTGATAATTTCCATACCATATTTTACAATTATATTTTTCTCTGTTAACTGCTCAAGCATTGCATTATGTACCAGTTATGTGAGGCAAAGTGCACTATAAAGTACTTACCCGTGCACAATGCCCATCACTTTGAAACACCAGTATTCTAATGGAGTTTCTAATCACTTCAGGAACCCACTGTGTGTTCCACTACAGCAAAGAAGTTAATAGCATCTAACATTTTAAGCTCCTGAAATATTTATCAGTAGCTTGATAAGACTGAAGATGCGAATTCTGAATTTTTCTCATTCCCAAGAAGGTTCAGTAACTTTACCCTCAATAGCCACTCAGGAATTTGAAATAGATTTATAGCAGAAATATGTGGCCCAAACAACTGTCACACAAAACCTTGAAAAAGCTAATAAATATAGTAAACTCAGAAGTCTGTGGTGCATGTGTTTAATTTTTTAAATCAAGATAATCCTAAATACATTCTTCAAGAAAATACTCTCCTGTAGGTCTTAAACATAAAGACACAATAAAAACAAACTGGTGTGTTTGGACAGATGTGCTTTTTTTTTTTTTGCATAGAATTTGAGGACTTTCAGATTTATAGCATGCCTTTCCTGTCTGACTACAAATAGTCAGTTAGCATACGTCAATGGAGACATAAAAGTTGGGGAAAACAAAACAGGCTTTGGATAGGACTTAGATTGAGAAAGGGAGGAGGCATAAAAGCATCTGTGTTATTTTCTGAATCTTGGGCTCCATTACAATTTAAAATTTTAGAGAGACAAGGTGGGTGAGGTAATATCTTTTATTGGACCAACTTCTGTGGGAGAGAGAGTCAAACTCCCAAGCTTACACAGAGCTCTTCTTCAGGTCTGGGAAACATACTCAGAATGTCACAGCTAAATATAAGGTGGAATATTGTTTAGCATAAGTAATTAACGCATATTCAAGGTACCATTCAAAGTGAAGTGGCCCATTTGCGAAAAGAAGAGGAGAGGCAGGGAAACCTACCCTGGTAGATTTCCACCACAACAACAACTACACCTCTCTCTGGAACACTCCCACACTAGCATCAAATTCCTAGACACATCAACTAGCTTCAGCAATGGAACCCTACAGACAACTGTGTCCAGAAAACCCACAGGTAACCACACCTACCTTCATAGATCCAGTAATCACCCCAAACACAACAAGAAATCTATTATCCATAGTCAAGCACTCAGATATTGCAGAATATACTCCAAGGAGAAATTACAGGATATGTACATTAACACGTTCAAAACCACCTTCACCAAACAAGGACACTCCACCAGAGAAGTAGATCATATCATGGAACGAGCCACCTAAATACAAGGAGAGAACCTGCTTCAATGCAGAAATCCCACTCTGATGCACAGTTGTCACCTACCACCCCACACAGAACCCATACAGGCTATCCTCAAACAGCTACAACCTATACTTGATAGGGACCCCATTCTGAAATAAATCTTTCCTGAACCCCCCCCCCTCCACTTCTGGTCTTCAAACAAACCCCTAGCCTCTCCAAGCTCATCATCAGAAACAGGCTCCCCACAGACTTGGACACACTAACTCAAAGCAGCACCAGCCTCTGCCAGAACAACTGATGCAAAACCTGCAGACATATCTCTACTGCTACAATGGTCAGCACCCCTCACAACACACCTTTTAAGATCCATGGGTCCTACACATGGCTATCACAACATGTGGTGTACCTCATCCAGTGCCCCGGGTGGTTCATGAACCTCTAGCTGGGGAAGGCTAGTCTCCAGCCCCGCCCCTTCCATACGCCCCGGAACCCAGAGTCCCCCCATCACGCCCACCAGCCTCTGCCCCAAGCTGGCTAGTGCCCAAAGTCAGCCCTCCTACCCCAGCCCTGGAGCACCGGGAGGGAGAGCATACAGCAGCCCTGGAGTGCCAAGAGGGAGAGCGCACGGTGGCGACACTGCAGCCTCCCCCGCCCCGGAGGGCCTAGAGGGAGAGCGTGTGGTGGCGCTGCTGCAGCCTCCTCAGCCCTGGGAAGGTGGGCAGCGTGGCCCCAGCCTCTGGAGCCCAGTGGCTCTGCCGAAGCAGGGCCCTCACGGCGGAGTGTGGGCAGGGCCATGCCTGGCTGTTTGGGGAGGCCCAGCCTCCCCTACCCACCGCCCATGTCCAGTGCACTAAATGCCCCATAACAACTATGTGGGTGAAACTAGAAAATCAGTGGAATGCCCTGGAATGAACTCTCACAGGAAAATGATAAAAGAAAAACACTATCACCTGTGTTATGATAACACAAAGCGATCACATTGTATCTAACTTATCAGTCCTCATCCTAAAAGGAACCTGCACAACGTTTTCAAAAGATGAGCCTGGGAGCTTAAATTCATAACTTTGCTAGACACTAAAAATCATGGACTAAATAAAAACATTGGATTTATGGCTTGTTACTACAATCTATAATTCCCATAGCTTCCTTTTTCCCCCTCCCCACACACACTGCCTTTCCCCCGTGACTGGAGGGGTGTTAATGAGCCACTTCATCTCAAATGGTCCCTTGGAATGTATGTTAACTACTTATTCCAAACAGTCTAGGCTTGGTCTACACTACATACTTACTTCAGTATAACTACAATGCTAAGGGGTGTGAAAAATCCACACTCCTGAGCAATGTAGTTATACTGACCTCAACCCCCCGAGTAGACAGCACTATGTCGGTGGGAGAGCTTCTCCTGCCAACATAGCTACCCCCTTATGGCGGTGGAGTTATTAAGCCAACAGGAGAGCTCTCTCTTGTCGGCTTACAGTGTCTTCACCAGGCGTGCTACAGTGGCACAGGTGTACTGAAAATTTGTAGTGTAGACCTGCCCTGAGTAAGTTTCCCAGACCTGAAGAAGAGTTCTGTGTAAGCTAAAAAGCTTGTCTCTTTCACCAACAGAAGTTGGTCCAATAAAAGATATTACCTCATCCACCTAGTCTTTCTAATGTCCTGGGACTGGCAAGGGTACAACAACCCTGCATACAATAATTTAAAGTATTGTCATAAATGTCAGTGTAGTCTCTCCAAAGCGAAGCTACAAAATGATTTTTCCTGAAAATCTGCTTTTTATAATCACTAAATAACATATTAAAACTCTGAAATTCCACCGTACCCAAGGAAAATCTAATTCTACATGTATGGCTTTCAGAGTTACAAAGTTTTAACCTGTTGGCCTTGACAAACAGCAGCAGCACATCTCCCTAACGTTCTTCAGAACTGTCACGGACTCTTACCACTATCCTTGCAAGTTAGTTCGGGAGACGGAAGAGAAGGACTTGGTTAAGTAAGGAAAGGAAAAGAGTGGACTTTGAGCTGATAGTACAAGTGGGCATTCAGACAATTACCACTTTATATCATGCCTTCACACAAAATGTCCCCGGATTATTTCTCAAAACATAAAATAAAGGATTTAAAACACAATAGCTAAAAAAGCTAAGAAAAAAAATTGAGTATTTCAGTTGTTTTGCCATGGAAGTTGTTTGGTGTAGAAGTGTTGGTTCTAACTGAAAAATAGCAGATCTGAGATGGAAGATATCATGAACTGAATAACAAAAGAAGGGGAAATATTTTCTGCACCGTAATTAATGGATGGAGTGGTAATGGACACAGGGAAATCTCAAATGTATAATCTAGAAATGTGGCACAAAATTATAGTGATAGGAGGACTACAGTTCTAAGTAAAAAAGAATACCGTGGAGCCCAAATCCAGATAATTAAACTGGTACTCTATGTGTGATAATAGAAATGTGTATGCTTATTTCTCCAGTTGTGTTAAAGCATAAATTTATGTAATTTAACAGAAGACCATCTCTGTCGTGCATTAATTTCTTAAATAATAGTAACATTGCATTAAAATACTGGGGGGGGGGTTCTAAGAAGTTCTCTGACTAGTTTGCAAATACCAATTAAATCATGATTTGTTCTACACTATTTAGAGGGCTCTTCTCAAGTAAAGTAGCACTTTATTAATTATATTCCATTTTTTTCTACCTCTCATTTCAGAACGGTTTGATCACCATTGTCCCTGGGTAGGCAACTGTGTGGGGAAAAGAAACTACAGATTTTTTTATATGTTTATTTTATCTCTGTCCTTTCTGACAGTCTTTATATTTGCATTCGTTATCACCCACGTCATCCTTCGTAAGTATGCTGGTGAAATCAGATTATGTATATAGCCATTTGCTTGAGTTTTTATTTTTAATTTAATCTTTTGATCATCTAGGGTTTTGGGTTTGTTTTTCTACCCTTTCTCTGAAGCTTCAGAGCCCCCAGTGATATGCTGTGGTATGGCAATCTGAATTCCCATGCCAGGCTTCCAATAGTAGAGCTTAGCCTTAATGCAATTTTTAATTTTCTTTCTGTCATCTAGTGGGCAGTTTCTTTGAGGAATTGCTCATATGCTTTGTGCCCAGGATAATGTATATGTCCCTCTATCCTGCATTTTTAACAGATAGTTTGCTTAGACATAGACATTCTTGAATGCATAGACATTCTTGAAACATCCCTGTGTATGATAGGGTGTATGTGATAAGATAGTGTAAGATATGTAATCATGGGTTTGATACTGGTTTTTATATTTGTATGCTGGATTGTGTTCGGAGGTATTTCCGTGTTTTTTTTCCATAGTTGATAAATCCTACTAATCCCAATATATATCTCAACTTCTCATGATTGAAAAGGTCTTTCAAACTCTAGTACATTTTTATAAGGAATTTTAAAAACTATTGGTATCTCTCATCTGTGGTAAATAAGAATAGCCACCCTTGAACTGCTGTTTTTTTGAGGCCACTTTCAAAATTGGGCCTTTCCTGTTAGTTTTCTTTATAATAGTTAATTCCAGCTTTTTGTCTAACACATTATGCAGCTAGTTTGTTAATCACAGTGCCCACAGAAATGGTTCTACAGAAAAATCTGCCAATGTATGATTTTTTTAAGTTATTTGAACCCTACAAAAATGAAGCTGTTTTCCTTTCTAAAAACCATACCTGCCGTAGCACGTGCTTTTTAGAGGAAGAATGGAACAATTTTCACAAGATTCCTAAAAATGTACAATATTTAAGATCCCTTCAAATGTACAACATAGACTAGAACCAAGAGCAGTTTGAAATGTGGGGAACTTGTGGCCATAGTCTGTCCTTTCCACCAAGTCCATCAGTTCTAAATTAATATTACTTGGAATACTGTCATTAGAAAAATGTCATTCATGCTCCTAAAGAAGGAAAAATTCATTATTGGAACTATTTTTACTGTTACTGTTTAAACCTGTGAGTCTTTTATTATGCATGTGTGCACACATATTTCGGAAAAGTATGTCTATGAGGAATTTTTTTATTCATGCTCTTATTCTGGTTTGCCATTTTTAATATATTTAATCTATTTTAAAACCTGACTTATCCAAGAGTATAAATTCTCTGCAGTTATGAGTTGATTCCCCTTTCCTTCCTGCAGACTGGGGAGCTTTTTTTGCAGAGCACACTGAGATTGCTCCAGTATTTGATCTCCAACATGGCAGGTGGCACCTTAAAGACTAACAGATTTATTTGGGCATAAGCTTTCGTGGGTAAAAAAACCCACTTCTTCAGATGCATCAATATCCTTGTTGTTTTTGTGGATACAGACTAACACGGCTACCCCCTGATACTTGACAACATGGCAGGTGAATTTACCATCACTTTACAGTGGTCGCTATTGAAAAAAATCAGTATTTACTACAGTGGTGGTAATTAGATTAAGATTGGGGCAGAGGGTTTCACGCTATATGCTTGAACAACACATAACACACTGTGGATGTTGCAAATATTGTGCAGTAAACATTAAATGCTGACTTCTGTAAAGATACCATCTGTGCAGGATTCTTGCTGTGGAGTCTCATCACCCTAGCATGAGACAGCAAAACCTCCCAAAAGCTTGTTTGGTTCCGAAGGGCAGTGGTAGCAGGTAGGAGTTGGAGCAACCTCCACGCTGCTGATTGACCTCAGCTTTAACCTCAGCTTTTGGGTGTATCCAGTCCTTTCTTGACTGCAGTCTTCGAAGGAGCTCTCTGCAAAAGTTGTATCTAACTGCAGCCGCAACTCTTGAGCTCCCTTAGTGCCTATCCTGCTTCAGGTATTGTTTCTGTGCTTCTTTCCTTTGACAGCCAGTCTTTTTTTTTTTTTTTTTTTTTTTTTTTTTAATCCTACAATTGTTTAACTGCTGCTTGCCAATAAGTGCTGATAGAGGAGCAGTCTCCAGGAACCTCAGTTCCCTAATCCCTGTCTTTGTATTTGGCATTGAGTGCTTCAGTGCTTCGCTTAAGCACCTCTGTGCTTTGGTGTTTTCAAAGTTTCAGTTCATTTCCTTGAGACTTTGGTCTTTGTGCAGTGATTTGGAATTCATTCAGCTTCAAAGATACTTCCCTCTGTTTCTCTTTCAGGCTGTTTCTCCACTGCCTCATCCCTTTGGAAGCAAGGCAGTAGGGTGACCAGATGTCCCGATTTTATAGGGACAGTCCCGATTTTGGGGTCTTTTTCTTATATAAGCTCCTATTACCCGTCCCGATTTTTCACACTTGCTGTCTGGTCACCCTAAAAGGCAGACCACTCAACAGCTCAGCAAAAAAACTTCCTATCCAAGGACAATATCCAAGACAATGCCAGTTTGGCAGAAAGGATATGCAAGGAATACCAGGTGACAGTTTGGCCATGCTACAATTTCATGGCCACAACTGTAGCTGTAAAACCTATGGTATATCTGCACAAAAGACTATCTCTAGTGTACCCTGAGAGTCCAGTGAAAGCAAGCATCACCATTTTACATTAGATCCAGAGGACTACAGACATCCAGGCCTACCTGATACTCCAGAAACAGTCTTCAACTAGAAAATAGAATCTGAATCCAAAATCATCCTATCCAAATAGCAGTGACCTCTGATGTTTTCACCCAGGGATGGGGACCCTATACAGGAACTTGAACTCTCTAAGAGCAACAACTGCACATCAGTATTCGACCAGCAAGGGAGATTCTGAATTCGATGAAGATCTTCAGAGATTTGATATCTCTCATGATGATCCTGATTCAAATGGCAAATCAGGCTACTATGTTTTATATAAACAAGCAAGTCAGCATAAGGTTGTCTCTCTGGAAGCCCTTCCAATGAGGGAGAGGGCTCTGTTATCCAAGAAATTCCTTAGTAGATATGTTACAGCCTCATGAGTGGTCCTCTGGATCAGGAAGTAGTGAATCAGATTTTTCATCACAGTAGGACACTAGATGTTGTTCCCTTCACCATTCACCCCAATGAGAAACCACTCCTCAGTGTCTTGAGTAAAAGATAAGGCACTACATTAACAAAAGATACTTATTTTTCCATCCACTGAGGAAGGAGGTTCCTGTATGCCTTTCCACAAGTCTGGCCAAATCCAGATGAGATAAATACTTGATCCTAGTAGCTTCATACTAGCACAGTCAAGTTCTCAGATCTTTTGCAGATGGCCAAAGCCAGTCCCACCAGGATCAGAGTCCTAGCCATGGCTGATCACTCAGAATCATGACACTGTACTCCATCCCAGTCTGGGAACTGTGTGTGTGACAGCTTGATTACTGGCAAGAGCACAGTAGGATTAGTGTTTTCGAACCGATGGTTTGAGTTCTCTTACCCTTGTGAAAACTAGCTAAGAGAAGGACTTAATATTGAAAGTTATAAAGATTTTCAAAAACTGCTTGACTCCCTTCTTCTCCTGTATGAATCTAACTTAAAGATTAACTCCATTTGAGTTCATTTAGGGTGACCAGACGTCCCGATTTTTAGCTTTTTGTCCCACGTTCTGACCGATCAGTGTTCGGGACGCAATTTGTCCCAATATTTTGCCCTTTTTTTTTGCTCGGCCGGCAGGACTCGGCTTTTTTTTTTTGCCTCCCCCTCCTCCTCCCTGGCGTCCCGATATTTTCTTCATCTCATCTGGTCACCCTAGGGTTCATTTATCAGCAACCCATCATGAGCTGGTCAAAGGTGTCTCTTCAGCCATTTGTTGCATGGTTCTTGGTGGACTGATTCTTTTGAAACCTTTATTTAAAAAGCTGCTGGTGTCATGGAATATTAATGTGCTCCTGGGAAGCTCTTTTTGAGCCACTCAGTACCTGTGAGTTCAAGTTTCTGATGTGGAAGGTTATTTTCCTAGTGTTAGTGACTATCTCAGAGTGAGCTAACTTCAGGCTCTTGTGACTGATCAATCTTTACCAATCTTAAAAGAATAAAGAGCTGTGGACTCATCGGAGATGCCTTTGCAAGGTAGTTATGGAGTTCCACCTTAATGAGCTAACTTATCTTGACAATATTTTCCCCAGCCTTCCCTGCCTAACTCATGAAAGATTTAATTATGGGCATATGCAAAATAGTCAAATGGTCCTTATTCCATACATTTACAAAGCACAGAAGCAATCTTGCCTCAGTCTCTCAATCCTGCCCAACCTTTCTTGAAGTCCAAATTTCTAGCATCTAGAGTTTTGTAACTTTGGGGGCATGTCCCTTGAGTTGGCCAAATTTGTGAAGCTTGTTTTGTATTTTTTATTCATCCTACAGGCTGTCATTGTTGCACCTTTCTTGGAGGGAAGCTGTCTTACCCTTAAGTATACTTTAAAAAAGAAAACATACATTATCAGCTTTGGCTTTGTTCTTTCTGCCTGCTATAATTATTTAATGATGCACTTTTTCTTTTTGACATCCACTTGCGCTGTTTTCTTTCCAAGAGTGAGAATTCTATACAAATAGTATCTTTGGAGAAGAGAAAATTACTTACTTAGTAATTCTGCTTCTCTGAAGTCATCATCTTGCAGGATTCTCGCTCGACCACCCACATCCACTCAATTTCAGAGAGGAAAACCTTTTCAATATAGACTTTATCTTTGTATTCATTCAACTTCTTTTTTAGGCATTAATTTTTCAGCCATTTTGTTTTTGTGATTGACTTATTTGGTTTGAGGAGCCTTCACTTTGTGGTAAATCAGGAAGTGACTAGAGGTGTATGACCACCAACAGGGAGTGTTGTTCACACACCTACCTGTTGCTGGTGTACTTAAGGGCCTGAAGCCTGGGAGAAGTTGTGCCATGAAACTAAGCCCCAAGTGTGAGAATCCTGGAAAAAAAAATCAAGAATGAAAAATATAAGGCAAGTCATTTCTTCCATTTTTTAATAGCGACCACTGTAAACCACTAGTCTGGCCCATGGAAATGGTGTCTCTTAAAAAAGATCATCATCATCATCAAGATTCCCCCCCCCCCATCAGATCCTCTTTGGCTAAGGAGGGAGAATTTTCTTCAAAGGGAAATATTTAAGATGTATTACATGAATAATGGTTAAATGATACAGTAGAATGCAGAGTTGTTTATAATGTGTGTAGCATTAAGGGCCAGTCTCTTCAGCCCCTTGGTATCAGTTCAGTGCATAGGGACTGGAAAGTGGACAAATCTCCCCAATGTGGGGACTCCCCAGTGAGCATGGAGCTGGCATAGCTATCTCCTACACCACCCTTCCTGGAACTCTGGTGTAAGGAGTGTGCCCGGAACATGCTGTTCTCTGGCTCTTCCCAGCTAGTGGATGTTGCCCTGGTAGCCATAGCCAGCCAGCATAAATTGGAGCAGCTCTCAAGATGTCCTAATGTAGACAGGGGGCAGGAGGTGTTGTAGAACTGGCCCAAGGAACAGAGAACTGTATTTGGCTTATTTGCACATACTTGCCTGGCTGCACCCAGAGTAAGCTAGGGACAGCTGAAAATCCGGGTCATAGCAGGGTGTATATCTTATAGGATTTCCAAGTCCAAAAGTAGCTAACAGTCTTTTCTTTTCCATATTAGGATGGAAAAGAACAGAGGGATAATTAGAAATCTTATTAATGCAAAACGGTGCGGACATCAATCTGGTATTACTGAGAAATGCCCTGCAGATGTTAGATCTGATTATAACTCTGCCACTTTTTTGTTGAATCACTTCAGCTGTAATACTTTCAAAATATAATTATGCAACTGATCTTCAGGCTCCTATTGTTTTTGATCTGTGGATGTGATCTCAGATGAAAGCAGCCTGTACTGAAAATTCTTACTCATTTGTAAAATTTGGTTTTTGTTTCCACAGGATCACAGCAAGCAGGATTCCTAAATGCCCTCAAGGACAGTCCAGCAAGATATCCTTTCATTAAAATGCGCTGTAGATTTTGTTACATTAATATTAAGGAAGAAATTATATGCTAAATGTATCTGGGTTTTGGGTTTTTTGCAGTTGTTGGATGCATGGAATTGAGACTTTCTCAAGAAAGGTTTCACCATTTGGTCTAGTATTTCTGTATCATTTCTCATTTAGTGTTGCACGTAGGGAAGAAAAGAGCTCTCTTTTCTTTTTATTATTATTTTGCATCTTTTGGGGGGTCTATTCTATTCTAGGTAAATGTATATAATGTCCATTTAACATTTATTGAAGTCACACACACATTTCAAGAGATAATCATACGCATTTGCTGAGTAATACATCCACTCTCATGAGAGAAAAATATTTATTTGGAATTTGTTGACTTTTGGTGGGATAGAAAAAGTCAATTATAAAATAGAAAACCAAAATATTAAGTGGCACCAAACAGTCCAATATTTCCAAAGTATACTTATGCTGATAACTTTATCAGTCCTTTAGGACAGATTTTACTGTGTCCTAGGTAACATTAATTCAAGTAACTAGTTGTTTGTTAGATTCCCTCACCTGCACCCCCATCCCCCACTACCTTTATACATGTAGCTCAAGGCATGTCTACATAGCCCTTCAGTTCGGACTAAGGGGGTGCAAATAGCAATGTGCACTGAAGTGCTGTGCTGTAATTCCCCTGTGTGGACACTGTGTACATGAATTTAAAGGTCCTGAGTTTGCACTAATGTAGTCCTCTTTGAAGGACTTTGAAGAGGACTACATTAGTGCAAACTCAGGACCTTGAAGTTTGAACATGCAGCATCCCACGGGGGAGTTGCAGCACAACACTTTTATGTGGACTGCTGTTCCCACTCCTTTTGTCTGAACTGCAAGGTCGTGTAGACATGCCCTCAGTGTCACTGTTCTATTTTAATATGTTCCAGCAGCTTCTTGCCTTTTTCACAAGTTCTCACCTGTGAGTGGAATAGGACTCCAGTATGAAACTGGAGAAAAGCCTGGTGAGAGTCTTTGGGTTAAGTTTAGAAGCGAGAGCAACAAGGGTGATGTGGTGGTGGTCGAGGCTTTCTTCGGACAATTAACTGAAGTTTCCAGAAAACAAGCCCTGGGGGACTTCAATCACCCTGACATCTGCTGGGAGAACAATACAGCAGTGCACAGACAATCCAGGAAGTTTTTGGAGAGTGTTGGGGACAACTTTCTGGTGCAACTACTGGAGGAATCAGCCAGGGGCTGTTCTCCTTTTGACCTGCTGCTCATAAACAGGGAAGAATTGGTAGGGGAAGTAGAAGTGGGTGACAACCTGGGCAGCAGTGACCATGAGATGGTTGAGTTCAGGATCCTCACAAAAGGAAGAAAGGAGAGTAGCAAAATACAGACCCTGGACTTTAGAAAAGCAGACTTTAACTCCCTTAGGGAACTGATGGGCAGGATCCCATGGGAGGCTAATATGAGGGGGAAAGCAGTCCAGGAAAGCTGGCTGTATTTTAAAGAAGCCTTATTGAGGGCACAGGAACAAACCATCCCAGGGTACAGAAAGAATAGCAAATATGGCAGGTGACCAGTTTGGCTTAACAGTGAAATCTTCAGTGAGCTTAAACCCAAAAAGGAAGCTTACAAGAAGTGGAAACTGGGACAGATGACATGGAGGAGTATAAAAATATTGCTTGAGCATGCAGGGGTGTGATCAGGAAGGCCAAAACACAACTGGAGTTGCAGCTAGCAAGGGTTGTGAAGGGTAACAAGAAGGGTTTCTACAGATATGTTAGCAACAAGAAAAAGGTCAGGGAAAATGTGGGACCCTTAATGAATGGGGGAGGCAACCTAGTGACAAATGATGTGGAAAAAACTGAAGTTCTCAGTGCTTCTTTTGCCTCGGTCTTCACAGACAAGGTTAGCTCCCACACTGCTGTCCTGGGCAACTCCTTGACTTTAGCAAAGCTTTTGATATGGTCTCCCACAGTATTCTTGCCGCCAAGTTAAAGAAGTATGGGCTGGATGAATGGACTGTAAGGTGGATAGAAAGCTGGCTAGATCGTCGGGCTCAACGGGTAGTGATCAATGGCTCCATGTCTAGTTGGCAGCCGGTTTCAAGCGGAGTGCCCCAAGGGTCGGTCCTGGGGCCGGTTTTGTTTAATATCTTCATTAATGATCTGGAGGATGGTGTGGACTGCACTCTCAGCAAGTTTGCAGATGACACTAAACTGGGAGGCGTGGTAGATACGCTAGAGGGTAGGGATCGGATACAGAGGGACCTAGACAAATTAGAGGATTGGGCCAAAAAAAACCTGATGAGGTTCAACAAGGACAAGTGCAGAGTCCTGCACGTAGGACGGAAGAATCCCATGCACTGCTACAGACTAGGGACCGAATGGCTAGGTAGCAGTTCTGCAGAAAAGGACCTAGGGGCCACAGTGGACGAGAAGCTGGATATGAGTCAACAGTGTGCTCTTGTTGCCAAGAAGGCTAACGGCATTTTGGGATGTATAAGTAGGGGCATTGCCAGCAGATCGAGGAACGTGATCGTTCCCCTTTATTCGACATTGGTGAGGCCTCATCTGGAGTACTGTGTCCAGTTTTGGGCCCCACACTACAAGAAGGATGTGGAAAAATTGGAAAGAGTCCAGCGGAGGGCAACAAAAATGATTAGGGGTCTAGAGCACATGACTTATGAGGAGAGGCTGAGGGAACTGGGATTGTTTAGTCTCCAGAAGAGAAGAATGAGGGGGGATTTGATAGCTGCTTTCAACTACCTGAGCGGGGGTTCCAAAGAGGATGGAGCTCAGCTGTTCTCAGTGGTGGCAGATGACAGAACAAGGAGCAATGGTCTCAAGTTGCAGTGGAGGGAGGTCTAGGTTGGATATTAGGAAACACTATTTCAATAGGAGGGTGGTGAAGCACTGGAATGCATTACCTAGGGAGGTGGTGGAGTCTCCTTCCTTGGAGGTTTTTAAGACCTGGCTTGACAAAGCCCTGGCTGGGATGATTTAGTTGGGAATTGGTCCTGCTTTGAGCAGGGGGTTGGACTAGATGACCTCCTGAGGTCCCTTCCAACCCTGATATTCTATGATTCTATGAACACAGTATGGGGAGGAGGTGAGCAGCCCTCAGTGGTGAAAGAACAGATTAAGGACTATTTAGAAAAGCTGGACATGCACAAGTCCATGGGTCCAGATCTAATGCATCCGAGGGTGCTGAGGGAATTGGCTGATGTGATTGCAGAGCCATTGGCCATTATCTCTGAAAACTCGTGGTGATCGGGGGGAGGTCCCAGATGATTGGAAAAAGGCAAATATAGTGCCCATTTTTAAAAAAGGGAAGAAGGAGAATCCGGGAAGGAGAAGCCTCACCTCAGTCCCTGGAAAAATCATGGAGCAGGTCCTCAAGGAAACCATTTTGAAGCACTTGGAGGAGAGAAAGATGATCGGGAACGGTCAACATGGATTCACCAAGGGCAAGTCATGCCTGACCAACCTGATTCCCTATTACGATGAGATAATTGGCTCTGTAGATATGGGGAAAGCAGTGGATGTGATATATCTTGACTTTAGCAAAGCTTTTGATATGGTCTCCCACAGTATTCTTGCCAGCAAGTTAAAAAAGTATGGATTGGATGAATGGACTATAAAGTGGATAGATAGCTGGCTAGATTGTCGGGCTCAATGTCTAGTTGGCAGCCGGTATCAAGCAGAGTACCCCAGGGGTCGGTCCTGGGGCTGGTATTGTTCAACATCTTTATTGATGATCTGGATGATGGGATGGATTGCACACTCAGCAAGTTCACAGATGACACTAAGCAGGGGGGAGAGGTAGATACACTGGAGGGTAGGGATAGGGTCCAGAGTGACCTAGACCCAATTGGAGGATTGGGCCAAAAGAAATCTGATGAGGTTCAACAAGGACAAGTGCAGAGTCCTGCAGTTAGGACAAAAGAACCCCATGCACCGCTACAGGCTGGGGACCAACCGGCTAAGCAGCAGTTCTGCAGAAAAGGACCTGAGGATACAGTGGATGACAAGCTGGATATGAGTCAGAAGTGTGCCCTGGTTGCCAAGAAGGCTAACGGCATATTGGGCTGCATTAGTAGGAGTATTGCCAGCAGATTGAGGGAAGTGATTATTCCCCTCTATTCGGCACTGGTGAGGCCACATCTGGAGTATTGTGTCCAGATTTGGGGCCCCCACTACAGAAAGGATGTGGACAAATTGGAGCGAGTCCAGGGGAGGGCAACAAAAATGAACAGGGGGCTGGGGCACATGACTTACGAGGAGAGGCTGAGGGAACTGGGCTTGTTTAGTCTGCAGAAGAGAAGAGTGAGGGGGGATTTGATAGCAGCCTTCAACTACCCGAAGGGGGGTTCCAAAGAGGATGGAGCTCAGCTGTTCTCCGTGGTGGAAGATGACAGAACAAGGAGCAATGGTCTCAAGTTGCAGTGGGGGAGGTCTAGGTTGGATATTAGGAAACGCTATTTCACTAGGAGGGTGGTGAAGCACTGGAATGGGTTACCTAGGGAGGTGGTGGAATCTCCATCCTTAGAGGTTTTTAAGGCCTGGCTTGACAAAGCCGTGGCTGGGATGATTTAGTTGGTGTTGGCCCTGCTTTGAGCAGGGGGTTGGACTAGATGACCTCCTGAGGTTTCTTCCAACCCTAATCTTCTATGATTCTATGACTTCTGCTCCCAGGTGAGAACAGCTAACAGAGGGGTTCTCAAACTGGGGGTCGTGACCCTCAGGGGATCGCCAGGTGGTTACATGGGAGTCACGAGCTGTCAGTTCTGTGGTGCTGACAGCCCCGAGCCCCCATTAAATTAAATTATCCCCACCATTGTTAATTTATAAGGGGGCTCACGCTCGGAGGCTTGCTGTGTGGAAGGGGTCATCAATAGAAAAAGTTTGAAAACCACTGAGCTAACAGACAGAAAAGGCTGGGGAGCTGCCATAACTTCTACTTGACTTCCTGCTTAAATTTCTGTGGGACTATATCCCTTCCAAC